TGCTCAGTAAGTCAAGACAGATAGATGGATGGAAAGAAGGAACGAGAAAAAGTAAAAATTAGGAAAAGGTTTCAACTCCACTATATTCATGTTGGTCTATAATATTAGGACAGTTCTAATGAAGGTCATAGATCTATCCTTCATGAACTTATCTGACTCTTGTCAACCTCTGTTACTTCACTGGAGTGACACACTCCACAGTCTGCTTCTGTGCTCTGGCCTCGTACTCTATCCTAGGCTTATGTGTCCTCATTCTGCAAAAAGGACCCCTCAGACTCTGGGAATATGATGCAATGCAGAGAGTACAGGACTTGGAGTAAGAACCTGGATTCAATTCATAGTTCAAATTCTAGCCCAGCATAGTTACCTTATCTCTTTGAACTTCCTTTTCAACTATCAATCAAGAGAGTAACTACATCATGGAATTGTAGGGGAGACTCCTATTTTCCCAATGACATAAAACATTTAATAAACATCAGCATCCTCCTGCACCCCACGCTTTCTCACTATTATAATGCTATTGACTTTAACCGTAGTCTCATGTAAAATGTAAACCCACAGGATTCTTTCCATTTGGAATTTGACAAGATTAAGTTAACCTAGACTAGTAGTTCTTAACATGGGCTGGTTTTCCCTCTGGAGAATGTTTGGCAATGTCTAGAGACAGTTTCATTGGTCAAAACAGGTGTGTGCTACTGGCATTGGGTGGGCAGAGGACAGGGATGCTATTATATATCCTACAATGCACTAGACTGGCCCCCCACAAAAAGATGGTCTGGACCAAAATGTCAATAGTGTTGAGGTTGAGAAACCCTCCCGAGAGTAATGGCCCGGGGGAGAGAGACCAGCTTCCTGAGGACCCTATGACCCAATTCACTCCTTTGTCCAGAAGTATGTGTGTGTGTGGCCAGAGGAGAAGGTGGGAGAGGTGGGGAGGAATTCAGAGGGGGAAAGGACAGGAGGATGCTAGGAGGGCCATTTCCCATCACATCCCTGTTTAGAGTAACCTCCTCCTTCTCCTCCCAGCGCTTTAAAGCACAGCCCAAGCCCTGTATCTTCTGAGACATTTTTTTATGCATCCAAGGCTCCAATTCTTTCTCCCGTGACCTGTCAAGATGAGACTGCTGCCGTGTAACTTAAACTGTATACGTTTCAGGAGGCCCTGCCTTCACATTCTGTCCATAGGCCATACACATTAAGAACAGAGCAATTAGGATTCACACCTTCTACAGTGGTTTGCAAGATGGTAAAGGAAGGGATGTATTCAGGCAGTCTTGCCATATCTCTGGTGAAGGCTGTTTTGAAACTTCTTTTGCAAGTGGCTGCTAATGGACTGATAATTGGTTTTCTGGCTTCCTTATGAAGTGTGAAGTATTCTGCAGGCCTGTCAACAAAGCATCAAGTCTTGTGGAAGTCACCAAGAGAGTTATTCGTCCCGTCCTGCTTCCCATCATATCCCTTATAGCAGAGGGATAACGGGACATGATTGTGTGGGGAAGGCCTACCACTCTTTTGCATGGAAGGGGGTAAGGAACAGCAAGAGCTTCTGGAAGGGTCGAGAATATGTGTCACTTGGCCAAAGCTTTCTTTCACCAGGACAGCCAGCGTAAGCGTATTTTCTAGACAGAGACCGAACAACTCCGAAGCCAATGCATGGTGCTGGGCACAGGGAAGACGGTCGGTAAATATCATCAAGTGGATGGAGGGTGGCACTAATTCCCATCGATTTGGAGCAGGAGTCCCTGGAGATGTGAACTAACCAAGGAGGACCAGAATGTGAGAAGAAAGAAGCTGACTCTATCTTTTCTTTCAAAATGCTTTTTGCTGTGAGATACATCATTTTCTTTAAAACCTCACCAAGAAAGACTATCGTTCGAGCATCTCCTACTGCGAGGGCACTCAAAAGCCAACGAAATGATTCTGAAGTCTCTGCTTGCGACAGAGAATGTTTTGGAACATGAAGGAAGAGGGTATTTGTGTAGTCTTGGCAGGGTAATTCCCTGGTAAGGAATTGTTTTGAAGAAAATGTTTCAAGGGAAGAACAACGCACAGCTCTGCGCTTCTTCAGACAATTGTTCAAAAAAATTTGAGCCGTCAGAATAATTTCTCCAATCCCCTTTGAACTTCTAATAAGGAAAGAACAGTTTGTTTGCTAAATACTGCATTAATATTTATTGTGACTAATGTGTTGTAAAATTTAGGACACTTATGCTGACTTTGGCTAGAGGGGCTTTTGTGTGTATGTTAATGAACACTTTATAAAAACACAGAGACAAACCTTAGTATTTTATATTTTTGTAGACATTTATAGACGTCATCCCTTTCCCATTGGTCACATACCGTGATAAATTTAATCTAGAATCAGGCGAACATCAAAGTTTAGCATTGACCTTCAGTCAAATAGGACTTGCCTTGTAATGAGCCATTTTAGAGATAGTTTCCAAGCATCTGTTGTGGAAAATGGGAGGACGGCTCATGTCATAGTCATCTCTTTCAATAAATAGGATGGTAGAGGCTTAGAATATTGGGAACCAGAATAAAGTGCTAGCTTATGGAATAGATTAGTAAATGAAAATCCAAACCAGGAGTTTGAGACCAGCCGGGGCAACATAGTGAGATCCCATCTCTACAAAAAATAAGTAGAATTAGCAGGGCATGGTATTAAGCACCTGTAGTTGCAGCTACCTGGGAGGTTGAGGCAGGAGGCTCACTTGAGCCCAGGAGTTTGAGGTTATAGTAAGCTATGAGGACACTACTATACTCCAGCCTGGGTCACAGAGTAAAATTTTGTTTCTTAAATAAATCCAGAGAGGCAGAGAAGAGATACCTTGGCCTCAGTCATGAGCTGAGCTAGGAGTAAGTATCAAGTCTCTAGATTTTGAATCCAAAGTTATCTCAGTGCACAAGGCCTTTCTTATCACCATCCTTTTCTCCCAGTGGTAGTGTGAGCTCCATGATGGTAAAACTCAGGACTCAGTAGAGAGCAACAGATGGCAGTCGCCTTCCTAAAGTACAATCACAATCTTGCTATGTGGCACAAAAGCATGGGACTAGTCTGCTCCCCGTGGCCCCCTCCATGAAAGTCAGCATCCCTGACACTCAAGCTGTGTTCTGTTACACTCGAATGTCCAGACAAACTTGAGAGAGACAGAAGTGCCTGGGGATGTCATCCTCCTCTATCCCAGAATCTTCTAGAAGAAGAAATGCCATGTTGGCCCCCCCAGAGTGCCTGCTTCACAGTTCTCATCAATAAGCCTCAGGCCCCTTGTCCTTGTTTGGAACCACAGGGAGCACCGATTTATACTTGCGGGGACAGCTCTGTCCTCTTTTCTTCTCAGCTGTTTGCAAGCAGTGCCCAGCTTGCTTAAGGCTGCCAGCAGAGCGGCACTTCAAGGTCTTCCTCCCTTAAAGAAGGTTTTAGAAAGATGTTCTAAAACCACTTCTAAGAGGCAAAGTGTCCAGTACATTTTTGGGAGGACTCAAGTGATAGCTTCTCAGGTAGCAGCGTTCTGTCACCTGCGTTGCTCAGCTTATGTGGCAGGAAACCTTATTCTGGTCCCAAGGAACTGGCTGACTCTGTTCCCACTTTAGTCCTACCAGCTGTCTGCCCTGAAAGCTGGATCCTCTTCCATTCCTTCCTGTCCTGTTTTATATTGACTAAGCCTCCACAGCACCTGGGGTTCCTACCTGAACTTGGTCTCTGTTATGGTCATAGCCTCTCTGCTGGTTTTCTCTGAGCTGCTCCTCCTGGGCCTGTGGTTGGTCCCACTGTGCTAAGAGGCTACCACTGCTGGGCTCTGTATTAATCACAATGGGGGGCAGAGATGGGCAGATATCATGCAATTTAATTTTTTTTTGATAAAAGTGATTTGTTCAATGTGTATCTAGGAGTGATGTGATCTTTAAACCTCTAAAGAATTTTTACATTAATAAATTCAAAAGGCATCAAAAATGCTTTGTTAGACAAAGTTTTTTTTTTTTTTTTTTCTGTTTGAAAGGTGTCATCGCTATGGTATGAACCAACTCACCAAGTCACGCAGCAAACTCTCAGTCATCACAGAGACCCTGATGGTCTCCCAGGCTATTCCTCCCCCAGCCCCCAGGGGCCACCATTTTCTAGTACGCAGAACCCAGAGGCCCCCAGTAGCCCACCAAAGTGGTAAAGGACCAGAAGGTCAGGCTATCTGCCTTTCCTTGAGAGAAGCCAGCTGAAAGAGATGGAGGAGGTGGGGTAACAAGGATTGGGAGAAGAAGAAGTGATATTCCAGCGAAGTTAGAATCCCTGTTTTTCCAAAGGAGACCATGCCTGGGCCTCCCCTGCCTACACACAACCCCTCATACTCATCCCAGTGTGACTGGAGGGTTAAGATATCACTTGCGCCGCAAAGTATGGTCATATCATTCAAGAGGAAGGAAGAAGGGATTCTTTGTTATCTCCACAAAATAGACCACTCAACTCTAACCCTGTTCCCCACAGATCAATAATCCAAAGATAGCTTGATCTCCCATCCCTCCCTAAATCCAGTACAAGAGGAAGTGATTTTAGGAAACTTTGTATCTGGCAAGGCCATGGTTTCCCAGGGTACCCAGAGGCTGGTACAGAGTTTACAATCTCTTGAACTTGCTAGTCCCTTCCACCTTGCTTGACTGTATGGGTGTCAGTGGCGGCAATGAGGGTAGTGAGAAGTGTCTGGGCCAAGCCTGGTGGACCAAGCCCCAGTGGTCTCTACCTTGCTTGTTAAGGATCACCAGGGAGGGTAAGACAGCATTGAAGAAGGCCCCCAAATGTCAACGGCAGTTATTCTCAGTGCCACTGTCTACATTATCGCTGGAAATGAGGGCCCAACTAGCAACATTCCGAGAAATAGATGAAACCAACCAGAGTGAAGTTGTTGTCACAACCTGTGAGGTTCCCAGGGATGGGGCCCCTGGACTAGCTAGGAAACGGGCCCCCTCCTCTTAGTGAAGACCCTGATGCGGCCTCCTCCTTGCTCACTTACACACGCAGCCTGGCTTCTTAGCCGACCACTGGTTATTCTTTTGGCACGTGATTGCCTTCTGGCCCACCAGCTCAAAGGCAGGCTGGCACTCAAACTTGAGCGTGTCACCGTGGTGAAACCGGGAGCCTTCCCTCCGGCCATAGGCAGGTATACCAGGGTCACCGCAACTGCCCTGTTCGATCTCTGAAAGACAGGAAGATGAGAAAACAGAGATAAAAGGTCACTTTATACCTCTCTTGGAGATAGAGGTCCACACGACATGCTCTGCCTCCTTTTTTCCGTGAGTCAGTGCTCAGAGTGACACAGGTAGGACTAATGCTCTTAGAAGGGGTGGGATTCTAATGAGAAATCCTGAAATGTCCTCTTTCAACACAGAACCCTGGTTAACAAATGCCTGAGACTCTGGGTCCACACAGAGTGCTCTAGTTGCTTGGATATTTTCAATTTGGGAAGGTGAGTCTACATTCTTGGTGGTTCTCTGTCCTAGAAGCTAACAAGTCCCAGAGTTTGGAGACTTCCTTACTAAACTTGAGCCTGCATCTGGATTACTCATCTGGACTATCAACAGATTGTAAGTAATGCAACAGCCCATTTCTGGGCAGCAAAGGCAAATACAAGACAACATCGTAGCCCATTCTTTCTGCCTGCCTTTGTCCTAAACCAGAGATTAAATGAGAATAAATATTCATGACCTTCTGATGTGGAAGCACTTTCGTGAAGATATTTTTTAAAAATTCAGTTTAAGAAAAAAAAATTCAGTTTAAGATGGTAACAGGTAAAAAGAAACAAACGACTCACTAAGGATGTGTCTAAAGCTCACTTGAGTCAACAGTGGTGAGTCAGACACAGAGTAGGTTCCCTGAGACACCTCCAGGGGCTGGGGCTCAGTGGGCAGGAGGGCTGTCCGCCTCTTGGTTGTCAATCGGGATCCAGATGCTTCCGGAAGGGAATCTGTCCTGGTCAAATCCCTGGAGTTTTCTCCAGAGTCACCCCACTTTCACCCACACTATGCTCAGTGATGTGAAAGATGAAGGAGGTGGTGGGGTTGGGGGGAGGAGGGAATGGAGTGGGGAAAGGAAATGACCTCTGCTCCCAAGGAGGAGGGCAGCTTGTAGGAAAGAAAGGATGTGATGAAGGAAGTGCCAGACAGTGAGGTGAGGCCTGGGAGAGTCCTGTGACTTGGGAGAGAGAAGCCTGGAGTCATCAGGGAAGTTTTTTGACACCTTCCCTGGGATCTCAGGACAAAGGAACTCTGGCTTTTCTGCAGACACCATTATGAGCTATCAGGAGCTCTCTGTCAGGGATGATTCTGCAAAAGCTTTCTTACCACCATTGTGGGGCTTCTGTGGGCTGACTGGGGTGGCCTATGTTAGCCTCAGGCACTGCCAGGTACCAATGAGCTCTTGGCCATCACATTCATGTTAACCCCAAAACTAGGGCACCTGCCCTTTGTTAAGAGCTGGCAAGACAAGGCATTTCATATAGCTGGGATTGCACGAGTTGAGTGTGAGTGTGTGTGACCTAAGTTAAACATCAAGGGTCCTCCAGTTTGGGAGTGGGGGTCTGTATGAGCACACACCAAGTCCAAGGAATCTCAAGTGTGAGCCAGCCCCCCAACCCCTATATTCCCTTGGCCTTGCCCTCTGCACACACCTGCTACAAACATGTCTGAACCCCCTGGGAAGCTAGCTTTGTTCACATGGGGGTGGGGGAGGGGATACACTGAGGCCTTCTAGGGAAGGTGATACCTTTGCTCCATGTCCCAGAGTTCCAGGTCCTTTGAAGGAAAGGAAGAAAGGGCCCTTTAATTAGTTGACAAGGGGAGGCAAGCAGCAGGGCCCTCCTTCTTCCAGATGTCCCTAGATATGTTCATGATGCAAGATCCTAGGCTGTGAGGGCTATCACTGTAGTCATTCTGAGACCTGGTGAAAGTTACCAGGCATTTGATATAGCACCCAGATTTAAGATTTCCTACCAAGGCCCATGTTGCAGGAGAGACACATGTGGGTACACTTGCCTGTGTCCCTGTATCCCCAGCTAGTCAGAGGCTGTGGTGGGCTCAAGAGAACATGCCTTCTTGGGGCAGGAAGGACTCTCCCTCCCACTGCTCCTGCTGCCTAGGCACCGTGCCTGTCCACATGTTCACGCCCACCCAATTTCTCTTACCATTGGTGCAATCATGAGTATATAGTAAGAACCTACTGGGTGCTTGTTCTGGTGCTAGACACTAGAGACCTGACATGGTCTCTGCTCCCAAGGAGTGAACAGACTAGGCACAGGAATTTATGGCACAGGTGATTCATGCTATGGAAGTACACGGTGGGGGGGAAGCACCAAACTCAAACTTGGGGGATCAGGCTGGGATCAGAGTGCAGAAAGTGAGGCATTGGCCTCACATACAAAATTTTAGGAGGCACCGGAAAGTCAGTAGTCAAGACAAATAGTATCTGGGTGCAATTTATTATAAAAAGCCACAATTAATGCCATAAATCCAATGTACAATAAAGAAAAATACCAACATTTAGAGCAGCATTTTTCAACCTTCTTTATCTCACAGCACACTCGAACCTACAGTTAAACTTCAATGGAACACTTAAATTATATTGATTTTTTAAAAAGGTAACAAAAAAGAATATACTTACTGTGCTTTGAACTTCTCTCAAAAATAATTTAATTATTGATTTTTAAAAAATGTTCGTGGCGCATCTAAGATCCTCTCACCCCCACCAGTGTGCTGCGGCAGACCGGCTGAACGACACTGATTTAAAGTAAGCCTGGATCCTACCCTCCACTTGGAGGACAACTTAATGTCACTTGTCTCACCTCAGTCCCAGCCCTGTCGGAGCTTCTTTTTAATTAAAATATTGATTTGTTTTTCATCATGAATATTTTGCATTAATATTGATTTAAAAGATTGTGCTGAAATATTATTAATCTTAATTACTGAAATTTTTGGCCCCCTTCCTTAAACTTTAGGCTAGCGAGTGCCTTGCTCACCTCACCCTAGTCCTAGCCCTGGGTCAGGGAAGGCTTCTTGGAGGAGGTGAGGTCTAAGATGAAGATTGCGGAGGAGATGGCAAGGTGAAAGGGAGAGCAGGTCAGAGGGGCGAGGAAGGGCCCTCTAGGTAGAGGGAAGAGGGAAGAGGCAAGGCCAAGTTCAGGAGGTGACACTGTAGGACTGCAATGGAGCAGTAACAATGACCACCTCCCAGTTATTTTCACTTTTTTTTTTTTGGAGACAGAGTCTAACTATGTAGCCCTCGGTTGAGTGCTGTAGTGTCACAGCTCACAGCAATCTCAAATTCTTGGGCTTTAGTGTAGCTGGGACTACAGGTGCCTGGAATAGTGCCTGGCTATTTTTTGTTGCAGTTGTCATTGCTGTTTAGCTGGCCTGGGCTGGGTTCGAACCCTCCAGCCTTGGTGTAGGTGGCTGGCACTGTAACCACTGTGCTACGGGCTGCTAGCCACACAGCTTACTCTTAGTTATATAACTAGTAACTCTTGCACTGATTACATGCTGGCAGCCACCTTACATTGATTGATTTCACCCTCATAGTACCCCTGTGAGCTAGGTTCTATTGTCCCCATTTTAAAGGTGAGAAAACTGAGGCACAGAAATTTCACCAAGGCCACAGAGCTAGGAAGTGGTGGATCTGACAGCTGTACTTGGGTTGCGTGGCTCCTGGGCTCTCAATCCCTGTGCCACACTGCCCTTCTACAAACACAGAGTATTTTCCGCAAGATGAGAAGAGACCAGGCTGGGAAAGGCATGAATGATCAGGGCCAACCCACCAAAGGACCTGTGCAATCTGCTAGGAGAATGGGCTTTGGCAGAGGAGGGGGGGTCATTTAAGATTTTATATTTGACAAAGATCTCCTGACAGCTGCCCCCTCTGCTGCCAAAAGCAGCGAGGCCATTCATTCACTCAACAAACATTTGAATACCGGCTTAGTGTGAGTCACTGTGCTGGGTGCAGAAACACAATGGAGACCAGGGCAGACACCAGCCCTGCCTCTGAGAAGCCTCCATTCCAGTGGGAGGCTCACAGTAATCCGGGAGGTGTTTTGATGGCATCCTGGACTGGGCACAGGCAGAAGGGATGGAGAGAGACAGGAAGGTCTGGGAGGCCTAAAGCAGGAAGAAGCTCATTCCGGGAGTGGGGTGGGCCATGGGGTGAGGAGAGGCAGGGTTCTACAATGCTGCCTGGAGGGCTTGACCTGGGCACTGGGGTGTGCTTTCACCCCAGTGACAAGTGTGCAGTTCTGAATGGAGGTCATTGGTAGGTGCTGATGGAACCTCTAAGTGGAGTTACCTAGTAGAAAGTGGCTACAAAGATCTGACATTCAGGAGAGAAGTCTGATGATCTAGAAAGTCAGTTCACTGATGGTAAAAGAAGCCATGAGAAGGAGGAGACCACCACCCAAGAAGAGGAGGAGAGGTGCTGGGACAGGACAGTTTGAGACATTGTAGAGCCCAGCAGAATGTTAGACTGAAATCCTGAGGACAGCAGGGTCACAGAAGCTCAGAGGAGAATGAGTTTCGAGAAGGAAACCAACAGCCTCCATTGCTGCAGGGAAGTTTAGACAACCTGGAAAAGCAGGTTAGCGAAAGGAGGTCACCGTTGATACTGGCAGGAGTAGACTGAGTGTAATGACAGTCACCCAACGGCGGAAGAGGAGGAGGATGCAGGAAGAGCAGAAGACTTTGGAAACAAGCATTTCTTGCCAGTGAAGAGGGAGAGAGAAATCAGGTTGCATCTCATGGGGGGTATGACGGGGTGTGGGGGGAGGCAGTTAACGTGGTTTTAAGAGAGGAGAAGCTTAAAAGGGGGTCTGGGGAGTTAAAGGGATCAAAGATCATTGGGACATTATGCTGTATCATGCAATCCATCCCCTCTACCCTTGATCACTGGAATTCTTTAATAAAGATTCAAATTACAAAAAAAAATGATAGGAGAAACTTGACCATATTTAAATGCTAGAAAATAACAAAAAGCAGGGAGAGAGATGGGCAAGGGGGTACTGAGTAGTCACCTGAAGATACGGAGAAGGCAGCAATTTCCCCCCAGTCTGAGCAGGGCTGGCCGAGGGCATCGCTGGGCTTGGAGAACAGGAAGAATAACAGGCTAAGGAGCTCAGGGTATTGTTAAAAGAAGGGAGGTGTTAGCCAAGGGGCTTGGGCA